GCAATTCGCCTGGGAATCGTTTCTGGATATGCTGGTGGGATACGCGAAGCGTCAGTATTGATTTGGTGCGTATCTTTTGGGGGTGTGGGGGTAGAGTGTTCTTTCAGAACTCCATCATCACCGCGACGTAGCAGGCATCATACTTGAGTCTCCTTTGGGGGAGCCGCAAAGGGGTACGGCACGAACCCGTTCGTGCCGATTTTGTCGGGAGATCCCAGCAGAACGCCCGTTTTGGGTGAGTGGACGCGTTCTTTTCCTCCTCCTTCTCCTCCTCCTCCTCGTCCTCCTCCTCGTCATCCTCCTCTCCCTCCCCCTCCTGTCCGTAGCCATTTTGGCTCAAGTCGTCCCCTGCCCTTCGCCGGCGCCGATCCGCATGTCCGGGTTGCGCGCTGACGCTACCGGAGGACACTAGGATTTGGCTGCGGGGGGCCACCACTGGCAGGCGGAGTGGCCCGTGCGTAATATTCGTTGCGAGGAGGCGTCTCGGCTAGGGGCCTCTGCGGCTCTGCGTGAGGCGAGGCGGCGCGGGCGCGTTGCCCTGGAAGGGCACTGGAGAGGCGCCGCACTCGGGGCTCTCGGCGACGAGGTGGCAAGGAGAGAGCGCCTCTCTCGGCCAACCCTGGTCGCGGGGGTCATCGGAGCGCGGGCGGGGCCTGGGCAGGTGCTGGTGCGCAACTGCGCTCAGCACGCTGCCAGCCTTCCGGAGGACGGGGCGCCCCTGTCCGCATGGCGGCTTGCTGAGCTGGGGCCGCGCCTCGGTGAGCAGCTCGTGGAGCCGACCACGATTCCCGAGGTCCCGAAGGGCCTGGACGTGGTGGACCTCGAGGCGGACTCCTGTTGCAGGCGAAGGTCGAGAAGGTCGTGTCTTTTCCTCGGCAGCCGACGCCGTGTTGGCCGCGCTAGCTGTCAGTGCAGGCGACATCCCAAGCGATGGTTGCAACGAGTGCCCAGCGCCAGGAGTTTGGCAGGTGGACAGGCATGCCGAGATGGAGGCCTTCGTGAGGGCGTGGCATCGGGGTGGTGGCTGGCGGAGCAGGCAGCGCTCGCGAAATCTTTGGTGGCGCCGCTGGAGGCTAAGGCCGTGCGCGCGCCGCTCGGCATTCCCCAGGTAGTCATTCCTGCTGGGCGGGGTGCACTGGGATGCCCAGTCCCAGTCCGTGCTGCACTTCGCAGTCCCATCGGATCAGATCATCTACATGTTTTTTCCTGGTGCTGTAGTCGTTTATGCTGTCGACCTGAAGCCTATCGCTGGTGTGCTTAATGATGAGGATGTTTCTTCCTAGTGTTCGTCTTCATCAGGATCCTGGGTTGGCCCCGCAGGACGAGTTCTTGGTGTGGTGCAGCCTCTCTGCGATGGGCACTTCTGGGATCCCGTGGCCGTGCCGTTGGGTCCATGTGGTGCAGTACGCGTCCCTCATTGGCGACCAGCGGCTTACGTGCTTGGGCTGCCACGTCGAGATGGATGGCCTCGAGGAGTCCGCCGACAAAGTCTTCCGCTGCGTGGCGTGCGGTTTCGTGGTGTGCTGTACCTGCGCGCCGAGGGATTGGCAGAGGTGGGCGTTGAAGACGGGTTGATGCTCATCACCGCATTCCTCATTGGTGTGGTCAAGTTACTCGACTTTGTCCTGCGCCTGTTCCTAGTGGCCTTGTGCTTCTTCAGGGCAGGTCCAGGCCCTGGCCAACCTCGCCAGCTGGTCAGGAGTATGTCGGGCAGCTGTCCGTGATGTCGAACAAAATCCCCCTCCTCCTCCTTCCGGCTCCTTTCCAGCATTACTCGATGTGAACACTGCTGCCACCTCTTCCAGGATACTGTGCGAGTTGGGCGTCGCCTCTTCGAAAATCACAACAACAAACACTGGCTCGAAACCAACTCAACTTTGATGTCGGGTTCGATCCCCACGGCATCTCTGTGATGGTTTTTTGGTGCTCCCACCGTGCTGGATGCATCCACGAGGCACCTGGCGCGAGGCCCGAGCTGGCTATCCAAAGACGTGATGCCACTACGCGCAGAATGGAGGAGCAGGAGGAGGGAGGAGGCGGAAAGAAGGGCCACTCGGAGTTTCGACGCGGGGGGGTGCCCAGGAACCGGATACACTGCTGGTGTCAGTGGGAGGGAGCGGCAACCTCTTGCGCACAACATACCGACGCACGACGGCCATTCTCCCAGAGAGCCCGAGACAGCGGCAACTGACAGAGTAGCAAGGCCAGGCCTGCCTGCTTTGAGCAGACGAAGCAGCACAGCGGCGGCTGCCCGAAGGGCCTCACCTGGGCACGCGCCGTTCCGTGACGAATTCTCACACGCTGGATGACCATCTGACTGAGCATCTGTGCAAGGACGGGCCAGATCACCCGAGACGGTCCGAGCCGCCCACGACAACATGGCGCAGACCTTACAGCTCGCAAAACGTACAAACCAGAGCACCATTGAAGGGAGCTGAGAGCTGAGGAGAGCCAGGAGGTGGATAAGGGGACGGGGAAGAGGACAAGCATGAGGAGGACAACGAAGACGGGGAGGATGAGGGGACGGAGGAAGGGGAATGGCTCCGGCTTACCCCGCCGACCTCGCAGCCGCAAAGGTTGGCCCCGACACTCGTCGCGCCTCCCCCCCCTACCCCGAAGGCCTGGCCCGCGTCCGACGGGAGCCCCCAAAGTGTGGGATCAATGCGTGGCTCTCCCGGCCCTTCGAAAAACACACATACACACAAGACGCGCCACATGAATGGCGGAGCCACGCTGGAGTTCCTCAAGCCCCGTTGTGAGCACGCGGCCATCCTGCCTATGTGTGTCTAAACCAACGTCGGCGGTCTGCGCCAACACACCGATCATCAAAAACTGCGAAATGAGACGTATTCCCTGTGCGCGGTGGTGGCTCACTGGATCCCCGCATGCGTACACACTGTTGGGTGCTAGTGTCCATCGAGCAACATAGTTATGATTATGTGTATATTTATATGTGTACGCACATGGCAATAAGTCTCGCTATCTCAACAATAGTAAAACAGCTTCGGCATGTCTATGCTCATGTGTACTACACGCATTCATGTGTATATGTATGAATTAAAAACATATGCGTATATACACATTTCAGTGCAAACCCTGCTTCGCTCCGTTTACGTACACATGTATGCATCTATGTATGCGTGTATGAGTGTATGCATGTATGTATGTATGTATGTATGTATGTATGTATGTATGTATGTATGTATGTATGTATGTATGTATGTTTGTATGTACGTATGTATGTATGTATGTATGTATGTATGTATGTATGTATGTATGTATGTATGTATGTATGTGTGTATGTATGTATGTATGTATGTATGTATGCATGCATGTATGTATGTATGTATGTATGTATGTATGTATGTATGTATGTATGTGTTTGTATGAGAGCACAAACAGAACGGCCCATGTACGACGATGATTGGCTTTCCGACTTCGGCAGCCGCTCCATGGCCGCACCATGACCGCCGCAGCGGCAATAACTAGATCCATATGTAGGCTGTTCGTCCGATGGGGCCCTAGGCTGAGCCTCAGGACCTGGCAATGTGGTGGGAGGCGGGTGGGAGTAAGCCAGACAGCCTGTGGCGTTCCCGTCTGGAACTCGACCCCTCCCCCTACCCGCTTATCCTGGTCTGGAGAGGGGGGTCGCGGGTCGCGACAGGGGCCCAGGATGGCTCCCAGAGGGCCACGCATGTACCAGGATAGCATCTAAGGTGGCACAAGACAGCTCCGGATGACCCATGATGCCTTTCAACATGCCTCCAAGATGCCCCAAGATCACCACGAAACGGCTCCTAGCGGGCACTGATCCTCGCAGGCGCCACGGGCCCACGGGCCCATCGAAGAACACACGGACGCGAAGATGATATAAACGTGTTTCTCGATACTCGGACTGAACTCCTCGGCGACGCAGTGCGCCGCCTCTAAGCCCAAGAGGGCCGCGCACATATGCAGAAGTCGGAGAGGGGAGGGGAAAGAGGAACGGGGGGGTTCTTTAGGGGGCTCCTTGTGACAACGGACCCCACTTCAGCGGATTCAGCATGGATGGAAACCATACAGACCCCGCCTCGGCCTCCCCCACGAGAAACGCGGGCGCCCCAGCCTCCTGCTGGAGGCGCCAGCGCCGCCCAGTGGGCACCTGCCGATCGGGCCCGGCCTCCCTCGGGGCCGCGGGGGGGCCCTCGTCCTCCTCCTCCCCCTTCGTCGCTCTCTCCTCCTCCTCCTCCTCCTCTCTGCCTTTGATCTCCTTCTTCGCCGCCCTTTCTCCAAAGTCCTCTTCTTCCTCTCTCTCTCTCTCTCCTCCTTGAGCGATGTCCTGGACCTCCGCCGCGCGATCGGCGCGTCTTGGAAGCTCCTGGGGCTCCTCCTGATCTCCGTCTTCTACCTTCTCCTCCTCTCCCTTCCCACTCTCTTAGACGATCAGATCTCGTCTGCTAGCTCCTCGGGACCTCGACTTCAGAGAAACGTTCAGGGGCCGCTCATCTAGATGCACCCCCTCGTCCACCAGACAGATAGACCCCCGACAAAGCAGATCATGCAGTGCGACGTTCCCCATAGCGGGGCCCGCGCGGGTGCGCGGATCCGCAGGCGTTCTCCCGCGATGCAGCCAGCGGATCAGCGATCCTACAGAGCTGAGGCTGTCGCGAACTACGGCCAACTCCAGGGCGCTACGCCGATCGGCTCTCGAGCAGGCGGCATTCTTCGAGAGCGTGCCAAACACTTATGATGTTGAACCTATGTTAAGGTCGATAACCGCTGAATTATTTGTTCTAGGCGTCGCCGGCCCGCGGGGGACGTCGACGAGAGCATCGCGGGAAGGCGTCGTCAAAGGTGTCGCCCGCAAAGGCGCGTTTATGCGAGGCGTCGAGCAAGGCATCTTGTTCCTGTGTCTTTTAAAAGAGGGGCAGCGGCGCAGGTGTCTGCTTTTTGGTTACTTCATCGCTCATGCTTTTGAACCGCCCAAACATACGTTGCCTAAATGTGCGCACTGATTTAGCGCCCCCCATTTCGATCGGGCAACTTGCGCTGCCACGGCGTCGCGTCGCCGATCGAATGCAGTAGCGACGGCCCGTTGGACCACGTCGCAATCATTACAGAAGGTTGCGCCGCAACCTTCTGTAATGGCAAGTTTGCGTCTGCACCTTGGCACTCGATCTGGACTCCGCGTCGGTTTGCCCGTCGCGTTGAGACGCCCCCCCGCCCCCCCCCAAATCCCCTTCCCCCCCCCCCGCCCCCCTGTTCCTCCTCGCCCCCCGTGCCGTGCCAGCAATCACCCTCATCATGTTTCGTGGCCTCGTCGTTTCCCCAATCACCTCCTCGCCGCAGTCCTGTCCCCCCCGCGACCGCCCAACTTCGCTTTCTGTCATGGCTCGTGTTTCGTAGGACTCTCTATATATATGTTCAATTGCGTCGCCTAGTTCTGGCTTGCACATCGCATGTGCGGTTAGACCTTTTATCAATTTGGAACTTGGGGGCAACGGGGAAGTCTCGGGCAAGCGTTGGCCACCCCGGCCGTCTTTGAGGGCAACTTGGGCCGTCTTGGAGGCCATCTGGAACCACCTTGGACGTTCTGACCGGCGAACGGGAGGGGGCGCGGAACAATGGCGACGCGCGCGAAGCAAAGGGGCGGCGGGCGAAGAGATTAATGAGAGGGGGGCGGGCGCGCGAATGGCGAGGGCTCGTAGTGCCGCCTCGAAGGGCGCGGGGGTGAGGGGCTTAAAAACCTGTGCGGTTGGAAACCGATGTAATGTGGCTGCGTGCATTGTGTCAGTAGGCGTCCTTGGTTCGAGCGCCAATTTCTTGTGGTTATTGATTTCTGCGGATGGCATCTCGCCCTGCACGCGACCGCCCAACTGACGCGCCTTGCAAACGCCAGGGAAATTTGTCAGACGCGCCGCCGAAGATTGGAGAGGCCACGCCGTTCGCCGATAAAGCTGCTGTACGTTTGTAGGAGACGCCGCCGCGGTGCAATCCAGCGCATCCAAAGTGCGACTTAAGTGCGGTTCAGGCTGAGACTGATGAATTCAAGTTTCGCAGAAAACGCAAAGCTCAGGGCCCGACGAAGAAATGGTGACAGATTGACGATGCGAAATCCACGATTGGTGCATGGTTGCCTAAATTGAACAAGGCTTCTTCATCCAGTTGTGCATCTAGGAGTGCCGTCTCGTCCTCGCCCAGTGGGGCGCGCGTGGCCGGCCGTGGCGGCGGTGACAATGATGCAGTAGAAGTCGTTGTCATTGGTTGAGGCCTCGGCATTTGCGCGTGATCGCTGCCGCTTGATGGGGCAGGCGTGCTGAGCTAGCTGCCAGTGAGGTAAACAATAATGACACCATTCCCCCCCCCCCCCCCCTCCTCGCCCCCCCCCCCCCCCTCCTCCCAACCGCGCCGTTTTGGGTGTGTTCTGGAGGGGGGCGAGCTCGACCTCGAGGTTTGGAAGCCGCGGCCACTTCGGATCAATCCACTGCATTAGCGGAGCCATCATGGAGCAATCCAATGCCTTCTTGGAGCCATCTTGGACCCGCTGCCTTGGACCGATGCCATCTTGGACCAGTGCCTTGGACCAATGCCTCGAGAGTTTCCGTTTCCGCAAGCTTTGGGCCCAAGCCTTTTTTTGTGTTTAGTTCGATTGCGTGCCCCGAGGGCGGCCGCCGGGCTCGGCGCCCTCGCGAGCGCTCTGGGGCGAGGTCGCGCGCGAGTTCCGCGCAGCTGCATTGGGCGCGGCCGCCGGCGAGGGCGCTGCGCCCGCCGTCGTCTCCGCCGACGCCCGCGCCGCGAACGCTCGCGTGGACCGCGAGGCGAAGAAGCGGCGGCGCGAGGAGGCAGCGGCAGCGGCTGGCGGCGCAGGGGGCGACGCATCGCAGGCGCTCGCGATTCGTGGTGGGCCGGAAGCGCCTTGGGTCTCTCCAGACGCGAGCGCGCGATGGAAGTCAGCGCATGTTCCTAGGGTGCCGTTTGTGCCCTCGCCCGTGCCCGTTCACGGCTGCAAGGTTTTGGACGGCGCCATGCAGCGCAGCGCTGACCTTCAGGAGGGCTCGGGCGCAGTGGCGTTTGACTTGTTTGGCGGTTCTGGGCAACATCAATCCATCGTGGCTCGCGCTGAGGCCTTGGATGTGGGCCGCTACCAACTGTGCAACGACGCCGGGCCGCTGGGCGCCGCACTACTTCTGTGAAAATTGGATGGCCAGGAAATCTCTCGAAGTGCGGATCGCGGGCCTCCAGTCTGACAAATGTATTTTTCCGCGGAGTACGATCGGAATGATGAGTCAGCGCTGCCAGTGACAGTCAACAAGCCCTCGGAAGCGGATGACCTCGCGAGAAACACTGGCACGGGGGCGGCTCGGGGATCTACTGACCCGGGTCAATCCAGACCCAGGTCAGCAGAAACCAAAAAACTGAAATGCAGGAGGAAAATAACTGCAGCGCAGGTCTTCGCAAACCAGGGTCAGCCAATATGCGCGGCCGCCTCG